CTGCTGTGACTGAGACTCCAGGCTATTAAACCCACTGGACTACCCTTCAGCTCTCTATAGTCTCCACTAAATTGATAATCTTCCTTTTTTTTTTTTTTTTTTGGTATATACTGACTCACTGGCAAAGTTCTATTTAAAAGAAAGCCATAATCACCCCCAAATATAATAACAGAAAACCATGTGCTGGCACTTGCAAAGCAGCCACAGAATTTTTCACTTAGTTTTTGTACTCACCCTGGAAAACAGACAGGGAAGGTGTGTTCACTTGAGCTTTATGATGAGAATTTTGGGGAGTGTGGGAAGTGTTGAGACAAAGATACTTTTTAGCTCCTGGTCCTTCTTCCCAAGGGCTGGTCTTATGGGTAAGGACCACTGTGTCTGGAATTAAAGTTCACGAGTTCTTAGTATTGCTGGTTGGTGATCACAGTACTAGTGCAGGCCGTTAGCTAGTTAGCAAGAATGATGTCTGACGGCCCTTTGTTTTGTACTTCTGTGTTTTCCTGCAAACCTCATGGATTCTTAGCATGAGCTGCTGACCCTTCTCCCTGACCCCATGAGGTCCCTTATGGGAACCCTAGAAGGTTATTACAAATTGAGTATCTGGATGCTGGAATTGATGGACACGAAAGGGGCTCCTAATGCTCAGAGGAACAAGCGTGAGATGCATGTTTTTGTTGTTGTTTTAAAGTAGAATTTTGGGTCAGGTGTCCTCTTTCTGTCCTGCCCTTCACTGTGTCCTTCCAGTCTCCATGGAAACCCCAATCAATGCAGCATATGTTGATTCAGGTTTCTACTGCTACTGGGAAGCCGAGCAGTGGAAATTGCTTTTAAAAGATTTGGGGAAGAGCTTGAGAATGCTGACCAGAATTCAAATCTGATATCCAAATGACTTTTATTAAAAGCTTTGACTGTGGTGCTATCCGAGGTGGTATGTTGATTAAATAAATACACAGGGGCATTTAGCAATAAACCTCTTCTATCATAGCTTTTTAAAATATTATAGTGCAGTTTTTAATTCCTTTTATCTTCAATTTAATTATACTCTCTGGCCTATGTGGCAATGCCAGGTGCCCCCTTTGCTCCTGATTAATTCTTCCATGCACAGATAGGGCTGTTGAGACCATTTATAAAGGCCCTCTGTTCCTGTGCTACTGTCCCCTAAAGCTATTAGCATTCTGTGGACTTCTGTCCTGACCAGGAGACTGCAGAAGTCTTAACACATTTTGGCCATAAGGAAGGCTTAGTGATTTTTCTTCTTCTTTCTTCCCCACCTCCAAGAATTCAAAGCAAGGGCTGGCAAGATGTCACTTGCCACCAGCCTTGATGATCTCAGTTTGATTCTGGGACCCACATGGTGGAAGGATAGAACTGACTCCTGCAAATTGCCTTCTGACCTCCATGTATGTGCTGTAGCATGTGCATACCACATCCCCTAAATAAGTAAATAAAATTAAAAGATTTAAAAGAACTCACAAATGAGAGTTAGCCAGAGTATCAAGCACGTACTCTGTATGAAACGATGGGAGTTGGGAGCAAAGGGAGTCAGTCAGTCTTAGAAGCTGTCTTTCTGGAGTGGAAATCAATTTGGGAGGATTGGAAGCCAGAAATGAAATGGATCACTAGACTGTGATTCAGGCTGTCAAAATGAAACAGCAAGGCGGTGGGACTGGGATAGAGTGACTGCTCAAATTGAAGTCCTTCTGAAGAGCTCGGGAGGAGAGCTTTGAGCTCAGAGGTAAAGGGGCTGGCAAAGGAGCTGGGAGTTAAGTAAGATGCAGATGCAGGGTGGGACTATCTGAGCGGAGGGAGCAGGTGCATGGGCGTGTATGTATGTATTTGAGAGAGCAATAAAACCAGGACCAGCTTATTATCAGGCAAATAGAGGAGCTGCAATGGAGCCCATCAAAGAGTATTATACAGATGATCTGCTTATGGCGTCTGTTCAGTGGGTAACTGAGGTTTGTGGGTGGGGCGGGGAGGAGTGGGACAGGGAGATCTGTGCTGGGAGCTGAATAACCTCTGTGCCAATGGATGGGAGGGAAATGAAGCTAAGGAATAATTCAGAAACACAATGATCAGATTGAAACACCAATTTAGAAAGAGGAATGAAGAAGATGCCAGAAATATCTGCACTTGTTACCCCAGGGATGAGGATGCAGTGATGTCATGAGCAAACAGAGGGTGCCCTGCAGGAAGGAAGGGAGGGCTGAGAGCAAGGTTGCTGGGGGATACCTGGAGCCTGTGGACAGAGATGCATGGAGCTGTTCAGCAGAGCCCTGTTGGTGCAGCTGGTGCAGCGGGTCTGTGCCTGGAAAGATGGGGGAGGGGGACACGGGGTGTGCTTTAAAATGGAAAGAGCAGAGGGGTTGTTGCATTGCCTATGGAGCCAAATCAGGGTTGCTCATCACAGCTTTCATGGGAAAATCCAGAAGTTCGGGCCAGTTTTCAGCCAAGAAGTCGGGATCAGTAGCCACAAAAGCTTGACATTACCGGCCATGGCTCTAAGCCCCCGGGGGGAGCACAGAGTCCACGTGGGCAAATTCTGACCTCCTAGAACTATACAATTTTTGTCTTTTCCTGCATCATTAATCCAGTAAAGAAGCCCATGGTAGAATACTTGACTCTGGAGCCAGCTTAATGTTTACCCTGGAGATTGTGCTGTTGTATCTTAAGACAGTATCTTCCTCTGTACCCAGGCTGGCCTCAACCGTGGATCTTCTGTCTCAGCCTCCCGGGTGCTGAAATGCTACCCCATTTCCCCCGGAGTTCTTCACACAAGGTCTCTTTGGAAGCTAAGGGTGGGGTCCTCCCATAGTCAGGGCTGTATTAGGTTTGCCCTCCTCAGATCGGGTATTCTATGGTTCCACACTAACGCCTGGGAGTGTTTTGGTAGAAACTTTCCTACTAGTTTTGAATATCTTCTTTTCCCAGTGTTCTCCATGCCTGTCTGTTTGTTCCCTTTGCACCCTTTCCTTTAAAGCTTTGTTAATTACGGTATCTTTCCCAAAACGTTTGACTTATTGCCTTCTCAAGACTGCACTATTTTTATGGCTAATTGAAGACACTGATATCTGGTTCATATTGATCAGCGTCTGCCCAGACTCAAGCCTGTCTGCAGTCTCACCCCATTCCCTGACATCTTTCTTTCATGTGTATCAGACCCTGAGAAACCCTGTGACCCATATGAGCCCTGCTGGAGAAGAGAAGGCTGAGAACATCACATTTGTGCAAGAGGAAGGGGCATGGCAGACACCAGCTCTGTTATTTATAAATGACTTGTATCTGTTTTTCCACCTGAGAAAGGGGCTGATAAAAATGTTAGCTTTGTTGTAAGAATTAAACTAACTCAAATGCAAGGGACAGTGTCTAGCACACATGGAATGACCCTTAAACATTAGCTCTGTGGGAACCCCCACCACTGGCCTTAGGGTATAAACATATCTTGGGTAAGAGAAGTATTTATTCATGGATTATTTTTTTTCTTAGTGCACAAAATACCAGGAAAGTCTCTAGAAAGTGAAAAATTCTCTTTCAGCTTAACTCTGAATTCTAGCTAGCATCATTTTTCAAGGTATCTCATTTGGTAACATGAAGGCACTTTTGCCTAACAGAGGGATGCTATGGACATTATCAGAGAGAGAGAGAGAGAGAGTGAGAGAGAGAGAGTCACTGTGGGGGCAGCATCAGGATTTCTATTTCATCTTAGCACCAGGCAATGAATAATTACAGTACATTAATTTCACTGTCAGAACATGGGTCATGCACCAGTAGATGTGCTCAGAGATACCATGTCCCAGCATGACACAAGAGCAAAGGCTCCCCTGTCAGAGTTGTTGCCATTGTGTACTGTGTCATCACATCCAGCCTCAGCTTCCTCACCTGTGACATGGGGGTAATAAACTTTCTAACTGTATTATGTGAGATTGTTGGATGACAATTCAAGATAATGTTTTATACTTGGTTTGTGAAGGTGAGCCTACTGCCTCAGCCTTGTGGGTGCTGTACCACCAGCCTAGTTTTGCTTTAAACATTTAATACATGTCAAATGAGCTGGGCCAGTTGGCACAGGCCTATAATTCTTGCTATTCAGAAGGCTAAGATAGAAGGACAGCAGTTTCGAAGCCTGCATGGGCTACAGAGTCAGTTTAAAGCCACCCTAGGCAACTTAAGGAGATCTTGTCTGAAAAAGAAAAAAAAAAAGGTAAGAAGAGGTGTTGGAAATATAGCTCAGTGGGAGAACCCTTGCCTATCATATATAAGGCCCTTGGTTCAGTCCCCAACATTAAACAACAACAAATCAAATAACAGAACTGATTACCTTTATTATAATGCCTTCACTTTCTATGGAAATGTCTTCTAACTTCTGGCTTGAGAAACCACTTGTCACAAAGGCCAGGTGTATTTGGAGCTGGTTCCTGAATGGACATGGCAACAGCCATAGGGACTGAGAGTGTAATGAGGAAGAGAAGGCAAGCTTTATCCTAGAGGAGTCTGCAAACTTCAGCGTGTGTTAGAATCCCCGGGCATGCTGGGTCCCACCAGTAGTTTCTGCCATCAAAGGTCTCTGCATTGAGGCTTGAGCACTGGCATGCCCATCACATTACCAGGCGATGCTCAGACTGCCAGTCTGGGTACCACTTTCAGAGAACTAGGACAAACAGGAAGAATCTTCCTTTTGGAACAGAGCAGGCAGTGTGAAGATCTATGTGGGTATAGAGGTTTGGAAATAATATTGAGGGGGGAAAAAGATAGAAACATAGAGATGATGAGCAGTTCGGGCAGAACAAAGGAAAAAGTCTCACTCCATCACAAATGCAAGTCGGGGGAAGTTGCTAGGTGATGGATGAGGAAAGAGAGGTGAGTTTCTACTGTAGGAAAAACCAGGTGAGAGGCAGGGGTTGGCAATCTGCACGTTCCAGAAGGCAGAGGTGGGAATTTCTCATTAAAGAGTGGGGAGCAGTGTGGTTGGTCCTGGTGGGGTGTGTGGGGGGGTGGGAGTGAGAATGGTCTAGGAGAGAGGTTCCTCTGTCGAGTAAGCGGACATCTGAGACTTGGCAGAGAGGGGTAATTTCAGGGCTGTGTGGTTTGGCTTGGGAGCACAGTGCAATAGAATTGGGAGAAAGGGGGTGGAATTTAGATGTGCGACCTGCCCCGTAGCTTTCTTGCTCTCTGCATTTATCACATCACATCACACCCAGCAAGACAGGCCCCCTCCTCCTGGCTCATTAGGAGATTTGATTCGGCTTGGCTCCTGCTGTCAGCAGCTGTCTGGGGCAAGATCTTTATGCTTCCTGCTCCCCAGTGCAGCCACCAGCCTCCAGCCTCCCAGCCAGCAGCAGAGCTCATTAGCAAAGAACCCTTCCCCGGATTTTCAGCTACTTGGTGGCCTGAAAAGAGTTAATACCTACTCTTGGCTGTGGGGCAGAGCAGCTGCCGTGGGCTCGGGAGAGGCTTCTTCCTGAGCTGCAGCCATAGGAGCTGCAGGTTAGTGAGGCCAAAGGAGGAAGGTGCAGGATGCCTGCCAGGTCAGCTCTGCTTGGGGGCATCTCCTGCGTCCTGCCAATGAGGATGGGCGTGCAGACTGTGCCCGGGAGCTGAGCCGCCGCCTGCTGGGTGTAGGCTGCTTCAGTATTTACTGGATGTGACAAGCAGAGAGAAGAGCTTTCGGGCCGCTTGCTGCCTAGCTCAAGTGGTGGGAGGTGTGTTGTGCATGCATGCTTATGTACGTGTGTATGCATGCGTGAGCCTATGTGTCCCTGCAAACATGCCTTTCACCTGCCAAGGATTTCACTGCTAAAAGAAAGATCTACTCTTTCCCTAGAGCTCCTTAACCCGTAGCCTCTTTGACCATCCACTTGGCAAAGACCTGCAGGCCATGAGGACCGGTCAACCACAGTAAGTATTGGCTCTGCCTTTTTCCTTCCTTGCTGGGGTGTCGGAAAGTTGGTTGCATTATACATATTTAATTAACCTGCCTCTTCATGCATATTGATTGGTTTCTCACCACTGAGCTTAATTTCTCTTTTCTTTATAAATCCTTTTCATTTTTGCTCTTTTGCTCCCCCTACCTTGAATGTCATCTTTTCCTATCCTGTCTGCTCCAGTCATTTGTGATTTGGTACCCACTTCTAAGGATGTTATGGGGAGGGGGGTGTCACATTGTTGAACTTTCCGGGCTCTGGCTAACCCTTTATCCGTCCCTTACAAGTCTGTCTAAAGCTAAATGGGATCAGAGCCCTGGGGGTTCCGGATCCTGGAGTGGAAGAGGCAGCTGGGGCAGAGTATCCAGAGAGCTCTCATTTAGGGAATCCAAAGCTGACCTCACTCAAGGGGTGATATTGGAAGTGCTGGGTGTGGATGGGGGTAGAGAGGAGACCACCGGATAACACCAGCAAACCAATGTGGGCTGGCAACAGGAAGGGGAAGAAAGAGCAGCAAGCAGGGACAGAAGCCAGTGGTCCCCTGCCCTAAACGACCTTGCCTGTGGTGTATATGAGTAGTGATCTCTGATCTGCTCAGCTGCAGAATAATAAAGGCCCTTGGCTAGACCTTCCCCCTGCCCTGGGGACAGATTTTTATAAGCAAGAGGAAATGAGGCGTAGGTGCCCAGACACGCTTTCTGAGACCCTTGGAACTGTAAGGGGTTTGACGGCTGACTTCTGGAAAGCAGGTGCACTCCCATTTAGGACAGTGATTAAAGAAATGTCCCCTGTTGTCAGGGAACATGGCCCACTGGGATGAGCCTTTACATAAAACCTAATTTAAAAAAAAAATTCTGGTTTCTGTTTTCGGTGCTAATAAAGTCGTTCTTCTATTTTGTTAATGAAAGTGATTTTAAAAAAGTATTTGTGAAATGTTCAGGATAATACCAAGGCAATTTAAATGGCACAGCCACACAGGATTCTTATCTATCTAAATTAGGTTTCTTTAAAAATGGATTCTACGTTTGGTGGCAGGGTTCCCCAAGGGAACCTTTTATGGATAGGTAGACAGCTCTTCCTATCAGCTTTCTTTTGTGGGAACAATGGTCTGAAACACTGCCAATGACACCCATGGGAAGGAGAGGCTACAAGCCAATCAGCCTTCAGCCTCCATATTCCCATCCTGCATCCCCAAGTCTTCCCTGTGTTGGGTCAAGGGTGGGCCAGGCCGAGGAAGGCTCACCTCCTTATGAGTTACTTGCATATTCATTTCTGCAGCCTGTGCTTGGGATCCCTGCCAAGGAGCATGCCCAGTGGTGAGGGTGTCTGGTGGCTTACCTCCAAGTCCCTTCAGCCCTCCTCCTTGCTCCCTTTTTCTCAAGCCCTGGCTCATTTCCACCTGGGACAGGTGTCCTTGGAGGGAGGTGGGAACCAGAACAGCATCCAATCAGATTATTTTGGAACAAGTGCTGGCCTCTGTTCCCTGGTCCCTTCCAGACTGGTCACTTGGGCATCAGTCTACTAAGATAAAGAGAACAGTAATTTTTGGTTTGCCAGGCCCATGCCTCCCTAAGGGTGTGTGTCCCAATTTTGGTGGCCAGCGGTTGGGGAAGTAGGAACTTCTGACCATCAGTCAGCAATGTGAAGCCTCCTGACATTTGCTCCCATCCATCTTTGATTGGCTACCTTCAGTGAGAACAAGCTGACATTTGTGGGTGCTGTGCTGTGGGGAGGTGCTCTGACATCGGAGAGCCTTTGCAATGGTGTGTCTTGCCAACAGGTGTGAGAGGGCGAACCCTCTTACAGCAGACTCTTTGATTTTAGGTGAGAGGACCTGAGAGGGTAAATCCTTGAACCCCGCAGCCTTAGCTCCTGCCGTGACATCCCTGCAAACCAGCCCAAGGGGTAACCATAAGCGGATGCCTGTATGGCTGCCTTACTGATGCCACGCAGGTAACGGACTGATGACCTGTCTTCCTGTCCCTGCCCCTCTCTTCTAAGCTCCATCTTCCGGTCGGTCTCTCACCTGTTCTGCTGTTTGAGCCTGGCCCAACTGTCACGCTCTAGGCGGTCCTCTCCTCTCTGGGCCTCCAGCGTCACTGCGCTATTCTCGCTGTTGTGCTTCTTGCAAAGTTACAGGCTTGTAAGCAGGACCCACCTTAGCTCTGTGCCCGCTTGCTGACTTGCTGGAATCTCTGGGTGATGATTTTTGGGTTAGGATTAGGGGCTGTGCATGAACTTGTATGAAACTCTGTGAGTTACTGGGACACGGGTTTGCAGAGAAAAGGCAGATGAGGAAATGACCCTCCCCGTTTTTCCTCTTTCTCTTTTTTTCTTTCCTTTCTCCCTCCCTTCCTGCTTCCTCTCTTCCTCTCTGCCTTTCACTCCTGTGTCTGCTTCCATCCTTTCCCACCTAAACTAAGGAGATTATGACTCAAGTCTTGACTGGAGAGATAGAAAACCATTTTGTCTCAAAGTAAATTTGCTTCTATGAACCACTTCAACGACTTGGAGTTGTATTGGGGGCAAGCACTACCCTTTAAACTGGTGTACACAAGCTTGTGTGAATTTACCGCTTTGTGCCAGTGACTGAAGATCCTAAGGCACAGAGTGGGCTGCAGGTTGGGGCCTGACCTGTGGTACAGCCTGAGCAGGACCTTTGCCTGAATTCATTGTAGTGATGATGGAAAGGGCTTTTAATCAGTTGCTTGAATGGCCTGGTGCTGGGTACCCTGTGATTTATAAGAGTGAATGGACACACATGATGTTCTCTGTTTCAGGAGAGAGGCCAACTGTAGCAACTGTTTTTAAAATGCCATGAAATAGATGGAGGCACGGTGCAGGCTCCCTGGGAAGAGAGACAGGAACAGGGTGATTTCCTGAGGGAGAGGATATTTCTAGAAACTTAGATGCTCCAGCTCTCAGGAGCTCTGCAGAGATGTGTCTCAGAATACAAATGTCCATCCCTGCCAAGTACAATACCATCTCAGTAGACAAATGCCAGATAAGATTTCTGTGAACAAAGACAATGAGCAGGCCTGGGAATGGAAATCTATTTGAAGTCAATGGGAGTGATTGAACTGAATGACCTCTAACTCCCTTATCTAGTTTTAGGATTTGTGAAAAAGAGGGCAAGGAAGCCTGGCCAGAAGGACTTGCTGTCAGCATGTGAGGATGACATGTCGTAGGACTATTCCATGGCAATATCTACCATGGTGCACATGGGAATTCCTTTTGTAAGCCAGATGGAAGTCCTGGTCTGATTATACCTTCCTCCCCCACCCTCTCTCCACTTACTTTTGCCCTTAATGTGAGGAGTTGTCATAGTTAAAGGCCAAAGGTTAGCAAACTTCCCTTGTCATGAGCCTAAGAGCAAATATTTTCAGCTTTGCAGGCTGTATGGTCAGTGTTGCAATTATTTAACTTTGCCCTTGAAGTTGAAGGCATCTTTAGACAACATGTGAACAAGTGGCCTCGTGTTCATATAAAACTATGCACACAGATACATTGCAGGACTTTAGTATGCCATCCTTTGGCTGAAGGTAAACGGGGCAAGTTAAGCAAGCTTAAGAACTGTCACAGGGGACACTGGCTCTCCACTGTTGGCATCATCCATTGCTCTTCTCACTGGCAGGCATCAATCCCTGTGGTCCATAGCCATCATGTACATATAGCCTGCCTTGGTGAGGTGAGTTGAGAAGCTGATTGGGGACTGGCCTGCCTTGAAGCCCCAAACTATGTGGTCTGACTCTCTCTTGCTGTCCAGCCCTGCATTGTGAGGTTCCCCTCTCCTCTTGGAGGGCCCTGCTTTCATGCCTTGTAGTTTGGGGCTGCCACCATCACCAACCCTGCCTCTTCACCCTTCTATTGGGAAAGCAAGATGTGGATTGCTATTCTGTCATTGCTGTTTCTACTCCCTACAGAGAACCCTAATTTAGAAATTCTTGCAAGCTAATGACCTTCACTGACTTACCATCAACATGCCATGTCAGCTTTAAAAAGCCTTCTGCCTAGAAGGGAAGGGCAGAGGAAGGGCCCCACACCTATTATTACTATGCCTTATAGTGAGATAAGGCATGTGCGTAGACCTTGCGTCTATTCTAGCTGATGGCCTCTTCAGAGGCCACCTGGGGTGGGGGTGGGGCAGCAGGTCCAGGTGCCCTTCATAGAGCTGGCAGCCGTGGTTATGATAGCCCCTTCCTTCTGTCTTCCTATCCGCTGCAGGAACAAAGGCATGAGGACTCGACTGGGGTGCCTGTCGCACAAATCGGACTCCTGTAGTGACTTCACAGCCATTCTTCCGGACAAACCCAATCGTGCTCTCAAGTGAGTAGTACAGCTGTCTTGCATTCCCGGGTACCCACACTGTGGGGTATCTATGGGACCTTTTTCTTCAGTGAGTTGTTGACTGGATAAACCACAAGATGATGCATGCAGGTCTCTTAGCAGCTCCTTTTCTACCCCTGCATGTGAGTGACAGGAAGGCATAGCTCGGTGATATCAGGTGGGAACCCTCCTTGCCCTAAGAAACAGTATGGCCATCAGTGCCTGAAGCTGTGGGTGGGGAGTACACTTCTTTATTGTACTCACTTGTCAATCTGAGCTCTCAGTTTGGAAATAAGCATACTCTAAAACAATGCTTAGATTCATATTGTCTGGATTCAGTACCTATTCTGTGCTGACATTGTATTTAATGATGTCACAAATGTCACTTTTTTCCAACCTCACTCACCTCTGAAAGGCATTACTGTCTCCATTCAAAGAGGTGAAGGATTTGAGGTGACAGTAAGAGGTGAGTTGAGCCTCTTTGTCTCCAAGACTAGCCTTGCCCCTGCAGCCCCTCACCTTGACATCTTGAAATCACATAGCTACATACCTTTATAGTTCAGAACAAAAATAATATATGAGGTTCTCTGAATTCCCATCCAGGCTGATTCTTCTTTCTGGTATAGCATAAGAAAACTCAGAATCTCAGTCATGCTAGGTAAAGACTTTATCACCAAGCTATAGGCACCCCCTCCCCAACTTAGAGGTTTCCCCAACTATCGCTTGAAAATGTGCCAATCAATAGAGAATTGCAGGGACCCAGGTATGGTATGCATGTGCTCTCCACCAATCCAAGAAAGGAGTCCTGGGCAAATTTGAGTGGTGGCTGGGGGAGAGAAGATGTGTCAGAAATACTCAGAGAGATGCTATTGCTTCCTAGGAGACTCTCCACAGAAGAAGCGACGAGGTGGGCAGATTCCTTTGACGTGCTCCTCTCTCATAAGTGTAAGTAAAAATCAGGTCGCATCACATTGGAGCGAATCATCCATGTGGCAAAAGATGTAGCAAACAAGTCCTGGACTCAGGACACTGTGCTTGAGACCCCAGCCCTCCATAATCCTGCACACAGCATGAGGAGCAGAGAGACAGGAAGACAGGCATTTTATTTTTTAATTAATTAATTAGCTAATTAATTAATTACTTTTGAGACTGAGTTTCTTTGTGTAGCCCTGGATGCTCTGGAACTAGTTCTGTAGACCAGGCTGGCCAGAAACTCACAGAGATCCATGTGCCTCTGCCTCCAGAGTACTGGGATTAAAGGCTTGAGCCACAGCCCAGCTGAAAACAGGCATTTTAAATGCAGTATGGTTGGACACTTCCTTCCTGTTTTCCATATTCAAACCATAGTCCCAAGAAGCCCAAGGTTCTGAGTCGTTATATTGCATTACATTATTTATTTATCAGACCTGTGCTCTCGTTGCTGACTCACCTCCATTGATAGATGTTTGGGTAGGCATGGTGGAATCCCTTGGTTTTTAGCAGATGCCATTAAATATGGCTTTGTTTCCCTAAGACTGGGAAGGTAGCTCAATGGCTGAGTAATTGCCAAGCATGTGTGAAGCTCTGAGTTCAACCCTCTTCATTCCTCTTTTTGAGAGTGGGTGTTTTTTATAGCTTTGGCTGGCCTCAAACATGCTATGAAGCCAAGGATGACCTTGAAATCGGGATTCTCTTGCTTCTACCTGCCACCTTCCAAGCACCAGGATTACAGGCCTTTCTCACTGTGGCTGGCTGCTCAGCAATGTTGACAGGATAGAATTCAGTTTAAGTGATGGAAATTATGGACTGACTGGAATGAGAAGGTCTAGGTTCCAGGCTAGATCTCATAAAAGGGAATGACCTCCATCCCCCGAGTCACTGGGCTACTTAGTCAATGAGTACTGTGTGTTTTTAGCAATCCCTTGGATTGGCAGAATTTCACTATTTATCTCCAGGGATAACTATCTCAGCTGCATTGTGCCCCTACTTCCTGGCTAGCACACCCCTTTGCTCTCCCTCCTCTTCTATTTCCTCCTGCTCAGCTGTTGTGTCTTTTGTTTCCTACAGAGGAAAAAGAGTTGTGGGTATTGCAGTGTTTAGAGGGCAGCTGATCATTAGTCAAACTTTCGCCCCCCCCCCCCCATCATGAGCAAGTCCAAATTTGCTGGGCTTTGACATCCCTGTGGCATTAAGCACATGGAAGTGGCAGAGCAGGGGCGGGAAGCGGGGAGGGGGTGTTTTGAGGAGACAGGAAGGTTGCAGACAGACATTCGGTGTTCCTCCTCGATTCGTCATGCCAGTGTGAGATCTGGGAGCAGAAGGGCTGCTTGCATTTTGCTGTGTTATTCCTATTTAATCGGGGAATGTGTTTTTGGATGATTAAATTGAAGGCTGCAGAGGGGGTTCAGATCTGTGCTCTCTGTTGAGCCGCCTTGGTTACTGGATACTTGGGTAGGCATGGTACAGTCCCTTGGTTTTTTAGCAGATGCCATTAAAAGTGACTTTACTTGACCAGGTCTGGGAAGGTGGCTCAGGGGTTCAGTAGTTGCCTAGCATGTGTGAGGCTCCAGGTTTAATTGTTAACACTTCATCCTCATCTTCATCACCATCATCCAAAAACAAGTGATTTTGTTTTGAATTTGATGAAGTTACTTCTTCCGTCTTCGCCTCTTGTTCTTAATAAGCAAATCAACAAATACTCTGAGTATATGCGTGTGGAGGGTACACACAAGTATGCATTTGTGTGTGCATGAACTTGTGTGCACATCTACGCATGTGCAAAGAGGCCAGAGGTTGCTGTCAAGTGTCTTCTTCTATTTCTCTCTACAATATTTATTTTTTTAGTGTGTGTGAAGGGGTGTGGGTGTATGGGTTCATACACGCCTCAGTGCACCTGTTGAGGATAGCAGATAACTTCCAGAAATTGGTTTTCTGCTTCTACCATGAGGGTCCCAACGGTTGAATTTACATGTCAAGCTTGGTCTCAAATGCTCTGAGCCATCTTGTCAGCTATCCCCCTTATTTTATTGAGACTGCCTTTCAGTAAACTTGGGGCCTACCAATTAGGCAAGATTAGCTGACCAATGAGATCCAGGAACCTTCCAATCTCTACTTTCCCATCTCTACTTTTTGTGTGGGTGCTGTGGATCCTCATGGTGGCACCGCTAGCACTGTCAACTAAGCCATCTCTCCATCTGGACAAATACTTTTGACTAGATTTTAAAATGGAGCTGCAATATCTAGGAATAAGTGCATACTGTAAAAAATTTGTGACTTTGGTATTCCGTGGGATCTACTTAGGAAAATAATTCATGTAGGTATATAGCATATGTAGCACACAGCCAGCCATACTCCAGTAGCAAGCACACAGTCCATTTGCCAAGGTAGTGGCATAGATATGATGTTTAGAATTAGACGGTAATGCTTTTCTAAAAACCAAGTTATTGACCATTTTTCAGGGGTCAGGTTCAGTGGAACGAGTGTCACTACCACTCTACATCTTCTGGCTGGCTCTGATTCAAGGTCATCCTAAAGTTTGGTTTCTATTTCAGCCTCACACTGATTCGCTCAGTTCAAGTCCCTTAGGCTGTTTCCTCATTCTAAAATGGGGTTAGAGATGCCTGCTTGCTAGCTACCACTTGCAGACAAGAAACTAAACAAGTAGATACATGCAGAACTCTAGGCTCTTTAGTCAAGATGTGATGTAATGATATCATGGGTTCTTTTTTTAATGATTTACATACAAAAATGAATACCTCGACAGTGACTTTTGTATCCAATTATTAACATTAAGTCAAGGTGAGATCTAGATAGATATTCAGTTTTATCTGCTTGATTCAGTGACTCTTGGATCTGCAACCTATTGGTCTCTCTGTCATGGAAGTGTTTCCCGGAATGCTGTAACACGTCCCTAACATGGGAATCCCAGAACCAGTCCCATCTTGCACCAATTTGCGACTTTGTCAAAGCACTACAGAAAACAGCCTTTTTGAAGTGTGAAGTTCTTTCATCCTTCTTGCAGCCCGGGTTCTGTTTTTTATTTCTGTTTAGTATGAGAGTTCTTAGGAAGAAAGTGGTATTTAGGGTCACTGGTAGAAAAACTTCATGCTTTTAAGATTTGGATGTCTATTCTCCTGTGAAGATGCAGAGCCATTGGAGCCCAGGCCACCTTAAAAGATGCTGACAACATTCTAAAAGTCGGATTAGTTTGGGTTGGGATTGTGACTCAATCAGGGCTGATTCAACTTCTCCAGTGGGATTTCACATATGCCTGTTCATGGCAGCACTAATGGACGTTTGCAGAGCTTCTGACTAAAAGGCATGATATCCCATGAAGTTAGAGTGTAGAAATCCTGAATGCCTGGGACCCAGAACCGTGGGTGTTAGTCTAGAACCTACTCCTCTGCCGTCCTTCACACCAAGGTATCTTACCCCCCCCCACCCGCCACCATGGAATCAGGTAATTATTTTTTCCCATTCCTGACCTCTGGAGCATCTTTGGCACCCTTGATTTGTTGTACTGGACACTTATTTAATTTCTCAAAAATGAGCTTATTCATTATGCACAAACTCTGTGCAGCTGGGAGGGAGCTCAGGTGAAAGAGGCTGTGGTCTGTCTCTGATGGAGAATGAAGGTCTTGGAGAAGTCAGGGCGCTCACAGATAATGCAAGGAAAAAAACTAGTTCTCATCTCATGGCAGGTGGCCTCAGGATTGCCATTAGAATTCTGGCTTCCAGTGCAGCTCTTACGTTCTGTCCCATCAGTGTCAGAAGTCCTACTGGTCTGGGAGGGTGTTTTCCAGTTGTCAGGGACCAGGCTTTTGGACGTTTAAGTGCAGAATACTAGTTGTTGGTCAACTCTATGGGCCTGATTTTGTCCCCCATTAGTTGACTTTTATGGAAACCTTGGCTATTTAGGAAGTCAGATTCCTCACTTGTCCAACAAAGAGCTGGGCCAGGATGTGTCAGGGGCTGAGTTTGGTTCTACCCTTGTCCCAGGTTGTTCTCTGAAACAGGCTTGAGGTTAGGTGATAGCCAATCACTTGTGGCAGGTTTGACTAAGTACTGCCTGTATGGTTATGTAAGGGTGCTTTCTAGCTGAAATGGCTCCAGCAACCAGAAGGGGGACCAAAGTACCTGTGTTCAGTCTTTCTTTCCAACACTATACCAGCTCAAATCTCAGGGGGGTGGGGGAAGGCAACTTTACTATCTTCAAAACCCTAGAATTAAAAAATTTAAAAATCTGGGAGGAAAATAGAGTAGTCTTATTTCCCATTGTATTTGTTTACAAATGAGTATAGAGTAAAAGCTCTCATGAAGGCCTGAGAGGTAATCGCTTGCTAAGTGCTTTTCTTAGAAACTAACAAAAGCAACTGAAATTGACATTGCTGATGGCTTCATTAGCTAGAAGGATGTCTAATATGTGCTAATTTAGAAGCTTTTCCTTGTTCAACCAATTACAATTAGACTTGATATTAGAATTGTGCATGTAGTCTGCCCTGAAGGGAAATGCAAGCGTGAGTGTGCATGTGTCTGCGAGAGAGCGAGAGCGAGAGAGAGAGAGAGAGAGAGAGAGAGAGAGAGAGAGAGAGAGAGAGAGAGAGAGAGAGAGAGAGTTTACATGCCCAGAAGGCTTTCTGCTCTGAAGCTTATACCCAACAGAACCAAGTCTCCCAGTTTGTGGGAGATCTATTCTGTTAGGCAGCTGGAAGACAGGAAAAAACTGTGTACTTACCTTTTGTTTTATTTTTCATAAAGTTCAGGCATGTGTTTATTTGTCCTGCTTTTAGAGAGATATTTTGCTCTGAGCTCTGAAGAAATATTCTCTTTCTGCTTTTCCTTCCCTTCTTTCCCTCTCTCTCCTCTTCTCCCAGCCCCTTTCTCTCTCTCTTTTTTTTTTTATTCCGTTTACCTCTTCCTTTTGTTTATGTCTTGCTCTTGTATCCTTCCTTCCTTTGTATATTTTT